AAGCACTTATTCTACTGAGCCATCTCCTGGGGCCCTATCATCTTGATAACAAACAAAACAAAACAAAACAAAACAAAAAAAAAAAAAAAAGTAAGGGCCAGCCAGATAGCTCAGCGGACTAAAGTGCCTGCTTAGGCAGGCTCAGTGACCGGGGTCTGATCTGTGTCGGGCCATGCTGGCTCTATCCCCGGGGCACGCTGAGATGGCAACTGAGCCCGGGTGTGGTGGCACATGCCTGCAATCCCAGCGCTTGGAAGGCTGAAAACAGGAGGATCACTACAAGTCCGATCTGTGTAGTGGGACCCTATAGACTGTGCTAAAAATACATTTTAAAAAAAACTGTGTATCGTGTCTATAATTTTTCTATTCTCTTTAAAATATTTAGAAGACATTTTTCCACAGTGCTTATCTAAGCACAATTCATAACAGTCAAACTATAAGACCTAAATATCCACGGGCAGGGATGAATGTAGTAAATGCATACAATGAGATATCAGTCACAAAGAAGGACTGAAATTATGTAGGAACATGGATGTATTTTGAGATCATAATGTTAAATGAATTAAATCAGACACAGAAGGCTAAACATTGCAGTTTCTCTTATATGAGTCCCAGTATATAAATACAGAATAAACAAAATGAAAATGACTGGAAAATAATCACATATCTGGCCAAGTATGTGTACTTAGAATAAATGAAGATCTCTCAAAATACACCAAGCAAATTTAAAAAAAAAAAAAAAAAACCTGCAAAAAACTTAGAGACTTCACAAAAGATACAGTAAATAAGGTCTGAGAAAATGCTCAGTATCAGTAGTTATTACAAAAATGTAAATTAAGCCCTGATAGGTACTGCTCACACGACCTTATACATCTGACAGAATGGCTTAAGTGCAGATGACTGGCCATATTAAGTGCTGATGGGAATATAGATCTGTGGCGCTATCATAGTTTGCGGGTGGGAATATAAAATGGTATAGCTACCGGGGCTGGCCAGAGAGCTCAGCGAATTAAAGCTTCTGCTTAGGCAGACACAGGGGCTGGGGTTCTCCCACCCCCGCTATGCCAGCCCTGCCCCCAGGGCTAGTTTGAGGCTGGGCGTGGTGGCACACGCCTGTAATCCCAGCACTTGGGAGGCTGCAAACAGGAGGATCACTATGAGTCTGATCTGTGTAGTGAGACCCTATACACCCTGTACTAAAAAAAAAAATAATAATAATAATGGTACAGCTACTTAGCAAATGCTCTTGGCAGATGTTTATAAACCTAAACACATAGTAACCATTTGAGCTAGCAGTATATGTCCAGATATTTACTCAAGAGAAATGAAAATATAGGAACATAGAAAGCCTCACATTCTGATGTTCACAACAGCTTTATTTGTAACATTCAAAAAGTGGAAACACTCTCAACATCCTTCAACTAGTGGGTGCGTAAACAACCTGCAGTACATCTACACAATGGAATACTATTCAGCAATTAAAAGGGAATGGAAAACTATTAATATGTGCAGCAACATGGATGAACCTCCAACACTCTGCAGTAGGTGAAAGAGGTAGGCCCGAAAAGCAACACAGACAGGATTCCCCCTAAGACATTCTGGAACAAGCATATCTACAGGCATGGAAAATGGGTTAGCCAGGAGCTGCGAGGTGGGGAAGGTGCTGATCACAAAGGAGTCTCTTCTTCAGTTTGACTGTGGCTGTGGCTACATGACTACATGCGTCTGTTGAGATTCTTAGAACTATGTACCAAAAAAGCATGCCTTTTCCTGTGCGTAACTGCAAAAATAAATGAATATAACGAAAGAAGTGCAGAACTGCAAGCAGCGTGCCATACAACTGGCCGTGGCGCCGCGGCCTTGTCTTAGCCTCAGCTGCCCCTGCACTGGTCACTGCATGCTGTCCCAGCTACTGTGAGCTGCAGCCATTGCAGTACCAGTGCAGGTGCTGGGGCCCCGGCCTCGTCCTCCAGGCACTTCTGCCTCTGCTTTGCTGGTGGTCTGTTCTCCAAGTGCTTCCTGCTCCTGCCACAGCCAGCCTGCACGCACTATGCCTCAGGCAGCGCCCCCACTACTGAGCAGTTTCTCTGGACCACAGCCTTTCTGCCCTGCTCCCCATAACAGCAACCTTTCGTAAGCTTTTTCATTTGTACAGCAAAATCATGGGGATGGATATTCAGACTCTGACATGCTGAAGAAAGATCTAGCCTTTGACCAACTGCTGGGGACTCTGGAGTCTTGGAATGCCCAGCCTAGTAAGAGTGTTTTTGTATACCTGGGGGCCTGTGGCAATGTCAGAGTTGATGTTAACAATAAAATTTATGTTGGGAACTGATTTAGTACGGCCCTGGTGGGAGGAAGGGCATGCTGAGCCCGAGTGACTGAGGTCCATCTCACATACGCTGCACGCTTAAACAGGGTGACCTGACGGAGAAGCAGGGGAACTTGCAGGGAACTGGGGAACTTCTCTAGATGGAAACTGTTTCCACATGGTACAAGGCTGGGTGAATCATACATAGTCCTCATGAACTCAGAGAGGGGACGCCTCAAAGCTTGGGCCTAGTGTCTCCCAGACATTGCTCTGTATGTCTTTTTCCTCTGTTGATCCTGACCCTCATCTCCTCACAGTAAGGAACTGGAGCTCTGGATGTGAGTGTTTAGAGTACGGGATTTCTTTTAGCAAGTCACGGGCTGACAGTAGCCTGGGAACTCCAGCACACGGTCTTGCTGGGTGCTTCCCTCAGGGCATAATAGATTGCGACTGCCTGTGTCTCACTGTGCTGTGATTTCTTTCTCTTTTTTGTATTTAGGACAGTCTCTACAGGGTCTCACTACATGGATTGGACTCATAGTGATCCTCCTATGTTTTTCAACCTCTCAATCGCTGAGATTACAGGTGCATGCCACTATGCCCAGTCTCAGTCGCTGTCTCAGCACACCCCAAGGGCGGGGCCGGCATGGCTCACCAGGGATCGAACCCCTAGCTGTTGCGCTCTGCTTAGGCAAGTGCTTTAATCCACTGAGCTATCTGGCTGGCTGTACTGTGATTTCTTTAAGGACTAGAAAGGTATATGATTCATCCATCATCACTAGTGCCTTGTACTGTTCCTGATGGGTATTAAGTAATTGTCTGATTGCAACAGAGGCCCACCATGCTCACATGGCTGATGCCTGCGTGCGCTAGACATGTGCTTCGGGGGCCTGCGGAGGAATGTGGAAGGAACACACATTCCCATCTAGGAAGCAATCATGACATCGTGCAAGAACACAGGTCAGGAAAACTGTCAACTGCTGAAGCCCAGACTGAGAATTAAGCTTGTTCATGACACATCCTAAGCAAGAATTTAAAAAGCCATAGCCAAATAGCAGCAGAGTGGTGGCTGAGGCTTCCAGAGGCTCCAGTGCCAGTGGGAGATGAAAACAGTTCAGAAGAAAGGGCTGCGGAGGTCCACCCTGCCAGCTACATTTTGTTTTCAGGTTATCTCTGCAATGGGGCATGAGATATTTCAGTTGGAAGTGACGAAATGGCACATAAGCTTCAAGGATCTCTGGAAGTGAGAAGAGCCCAGCAGTCACGACTTCTTTACGTAGTGCTCGGGCCCAAGAGTCAGCCACAATCCCAGCCCCAACTAGTAACCTTCAGGTTCTTTCGGGGAACTCCAAACACATTCAGGAACAGGTTTACCACAACAATGAGACACAATAGTAAGCTTTGCTCCCTGATCCCTCACTGATAAATTTTAGTCATTCTTAAGAGAGAAACACACTTCAATTAAACACACACAAGCTTTGTTATCGAGCCCTAAGATCAGCCAAACAAGAGCAACACACAACACTTGCCTATTTACTGGGAGTGCCCAACTAGAACCAGATTTCAGTTTATTGGAAAAGATGGCAGACCTCTGGTTTTAATTCCTCTCTATTGCAAATGGGGAAGGTGATCTTTTCCCAGGTGTGGCTCCTGAGTAACAGCAATAATGGACATTCAAGCAGCCAGGGTCAGTCCAATGTGCCAGCAGAACCAGCACGCTGCCTCTCCTTAGCAGGCCCAGCACAGCCTCCTCTCCCACCCAGCAGCAGCCCCATCAAGTCCCGGCAACCCAGGCCCAAAGCTCTGTCCAGACAGAGGCTGTCTGCACAGCCTAGGTCAGCCCTGGCTTGGAGCCTGCTTCTGTATCTAGATTACCTAGGAGTCTTATGCCTGGCATATAGAAAACACTAACAAATTTTTTAAAAAGTAGAATTTCTCTTTCCTCTTCCCATCAAGTACCCTTTCCTAGCAGCCTTTTCTGAAAGATAAATCTGGAGTCACTGGAGTGCTTGTTTCCTGCATTCTTCCCAAGGACAGGAAATTGCTAGCGCACTCTAGAAAACACAAGAAGAGTTAATTCATGGTGCTCCAGTGTCGGCCGAGGGCAGCAGGGTTAATTCTGTTCAGAAGTCTAGACAGCAAGCCAGCTTCGAGGACTCATATGGCTCCGCAGCACCCAGGTACCACCTTGCTACACATGCAGTGGTCAGCTCCTGTGCAGGCCCCACTGACAAGGCAGGAGGCGGGGGTGGAGGGATGGAGTGAGAAGGCACAAAGGATTGAAGATGTCCTCCCAGGGCCCTGGTGGCTGGCCGCTGCCCAGCACTGCCGGAGCGCAGCCTTCTGCTTATCCACCTAGTGTGCACAGAAGCCATGCCCGACGGTCCAGCTCGCCGTGTGCTGTGCATCAGCTTCCTGTTCTCACCAGCTCTACAGCCCCAAGCTGCTTACAACCTGCTCTGCTCTTGCAGAGGCAGCTCAGAGCCCCTCAAGGAGCAGCTTTCTGGACTTCAGCTTTTACTTTGTGACCCTCCCACTTGCCACCTACTACCTCACTCCAGACCACATAATTGTCACTTATATGTGAAACTCATTCAGACTGCCTCAGTGCCCACAGGCTGGACCAGGGAGCTCAGGAGCTTAGGGCTGCATAAAAGCCAGCCTGTGACCCCTCCCTCTATCTGTGTCCCTAGTACACATTTCCTGGGACAGAGTAAAGAAAGGTGAGTTCATGGGCGTGAGAGCACCCTGCTGTGAGGAGGGGTCATGTATGTCTTCCTTTGGACAAACAGAAGAGCAGGTTCTTTGGTAGTTTGTTTCAAGTTCCACTGGTATTGCCTAGCTTGGTTTTCTCACAGTGGGTTCCATTTAAGTACCCAAGGGGAGGAAAAGAAGTTTCAATGAAGTTTTCAAAGGAGGGTAGGGAATCATAGCTGCAGAGCAACAAAATCTTTTAGCCAGAGGAGCCACGTTGTGGCCACATATCGATAGTCCCCAAAGCCTCAGGTGGGCTTCTCCAGGGTCGCTGGATCTAGAGCATATGAAGCTAGGATCAAGGCTGTGTGCTTAGTCTACTGATTAGTGTGGCATAGTTCTGGGCAGGATTAAGAATGCCCCGCTGTCCAAAACAGCTACCAATTGTGAGCTACAATCCACTTTCCCTCCTTCCACTTTAGGGATCAGGTATGTTGTCTCAGTAATGAGAAAGTAACTAAGAGAAGCCCCTAAAGGATGATTCAGCTTTTCTGAATTTCACGAATCTGTCTGGGGAGAGATCAGAGAGGGGCCCTGCTGCACTCAGTGCAGAGGTCTGCATGCCCTTCACTTCCTTCCGCAAGCCACTGACTTCAGAGCAAACTCTACATCCTGGCCCTGTCCTGCATCCTCATGTCCCAGTCCCACACCCCCTACACACCCACTCCCAAACCAAAGCCTACACACTGAGCTACTTCCCTAGCTTTTTTCTAATTTTAGACAAAAATAAGTAAGTAGCTAAATATGCAAGGGTAGATTCAGACTTAAGACCCTGCTGCCTGGCCTCGCAGAGTTCTGGGATTTAGGCCAGCAACACAGAACGACTCTTACTCTACTCCTCCCGGATGTGGCCAGTGCTCCACTGAGGAGGCAGGGTCTGCTGTCTGCTCGGTGCTCTGTCCCATGTTGGCTCTGGCGCTGACCAGGTACCCACACCTCAGCCTATGCCCAGCCTGTGTTACTTCCCTCACTTCCAAGCAGCAACTGTCTTCCTTCTTAACACCCACTGCCAGGGCTTTAAATGCTTGTGAAGTGTTGGCAAGAAATGACATATAAAGTGTTTGCAAGAAATGACATACAAAGGAACCAGTTGAACAAGTAACAAGAGGGTATCATCGTTCCTAAAGCCATTCCGTGCCTCCTCCCCATCGGCTACCTTGCTTAGGGTCAATACCCAAAATCTGCCCTTGGACAGACAGGGGCACACGATCCCAGGCGACACGGGTAACTCGTGTCCCGGAGAGCCCAGGATCAGCCCGTGCGAGGTCAGCGCCTCATCCTGGGGCCAGGACCGTGCGCCTCCGTCAGGTGCACATCCCTGCAGCCCTAAACCCTGGACTTCCCATTTCAACTTCCCACCCTTAGAGGAGTCAAGGAGCTGCTATTCAGAGGCCGGATCAATGTTAGGTCAAGTTTGGGGAAGGGAAACAGGGCACTCAGCAACAAAACTCTAGGCTCCCCTCAAGCACTGCCGAAAAGTCTACTACTCCCCGAGCCAACAGTGCTGCACCTGTAACAGGTGGCCCCTGCTAGAAGTGGGTCAAAGAAAGGACAGGTAGAGGAAAATAAAAAGGCATCAGAAGAGTGAAGCAACCGGAAGGAAGGGAGGGACCTGGAGACTGGAAAGAAAAATAGAAAAAGGGAAAGAAAGAAATGAAAGACAGGAAAGACTGGGGGCGCGGGGCCGAACCCCTGCGCGGCTGGGCCCGGGCGGCGCCCTTACCAGCGGAGGCCGAGCGCAGGCTCTCCAGGCTCCAGGCGCGGGACAGGGCGCCGCGCATGCCCCCGCGGCCGCCGCACACCACGCCGCTGCTGTCGGAGTCCGAGCCAGGCGACAGCCCTGCGCTGCTGCTGCCGCTGCTGCTGGTGCCCAGCTCGCCGCTCGCGCGCCCGCTCGACTCGCTGGGGCACTGCTGCGCCCGTGCGCAGGGGGCGCCCAGCTCCAGCCACAGGCTC